GGGTCGCGTTTCAGGATAAGCAATTTATCCTAAAACGCACAAGCTGCCCCAAATGGACCCTAAGTCCATTGTGATTGTGTTTTCAGCTTTGTAGCTGGAATTCTCTTTTCTTTTTTGCTCTAGCAGCATCCTTACCACTTTACCAGGTTTAAGACACACCTCTGCTCTTCCTACCTATATAGTGCCATAGAATTAGAGTTTCCTTCTCTTGAACTCAGTGCTAGCTAGGTTTCCTTAGACGATGGAATTCACGGATTGCTAACAAGGGGTCTCAAGTTGCGTTGGGTTGACTACCTTAATGATCAAGTTGACTTGAGGTCCTAATAGCTTGAGATGACAAATCCGTGGTATCCTAACCCGGCTATCTCAACCTGACTTGGATTACTTCACCTTTCCTTTGTTACCACTTTGAGCCTTCTTGCTCCTTTGAAGCTTCGTCGATGTTGTCTTATAGGTTCCAATTGCGGATGGCCACCGCTCGTTTGTGACACAGTGATTGGCCCTCTACTCTTATGGCTTTGTGAGGTTTTATAAGTGTAGTGCGGACTCTACGGGATGAAAGATTATTTCATAGACCCCGATCACCGATAAGCCGTTATTCTTATAGTATTGTGAGAGACTCACTCTATGCTTGTATGGATCAGCATGAGCTTTGAAGGCATTGGGACACTTCTGTGAGATAACGGTCCTTTGTGACACCCTTTACTAGTTATCATTCAAATGTAAGCAGGTTTTCTTTAATCGAGAGTTTTCTTGTGCATCCCTCAAGCTGTACTTAACCAAATGGGTATGTCCCTTTACGAGTTGGTCTTGACCCGAGAAAAAACACACAAAATTAAATTTCTGGTTAAGGGTTGCTTTTGCTGGGTCTTCTTGGCACATATGTTTCCAAGGTATTTTCGATTCGATCTTGTTTGGATGTACGCTCTTGGGCTATCACGTGAAGTTTATTTTTCAAAAGTTCTCCACCTATTTTTTTCTCACCTACTTCTGCATTATCGTATGCCCTCATTTTCCAATTACTCTATTCTCTATATCATCTATAAGCAGAAGTAGGTGAGAAAAAAATAGGTGGAGAACTTTTGAAAAATAAACAATGAGTTCTAAACGTGGAGAGCCTATTTGGATGTGCTCTATTCTCAGAATGATACGATGATAAACAAATTGACAACTTCTAAAAAAAAGAGAAAAAAAAACAAAAGACAAGATCATAAGGAAAATCTCAGTCAAAAATGAGTTCAAATGTTTTAATTGTGTTAAATCAGGGCATAAACGGGCTCAATGTAGATTGTTAAAAAGAAAACATAAGCAGAAGTAGAGGGACAAAATAAAGAAAGATGATGCTAATATAGCTCTCACTGCAAATGAGGATGTTACTGTTTTTAGTGATAACAATAATATTAATCTCACATATCAGGATTCTTACTGGGTAGTTGATCTTGGTGCTTCATATTATGTCACTTCTCATTGTCATTTGTTTTCCATCTACAATGAGGGTGAGTTTGGTAATGTGAAGACTGGAAATGATGCAGAATACAAATTATGGGTATTAATGATGTTTACATGTTTACTGATGTTGGATGTCAATTATGTCTTTCTAAGATCTACTTGAATTTGTTCTCTACTGGTATACTTGATGATGAAGGATACCATAACCACTTTGGTGAAGGTAAATGAAAGTTCACCAAGGTGTTTTTGGTGGTTGCTAGAGAAAAGAAGTTGTCTTTCAGTTCCTTTGAATCATGATATACCATAGAGGGTTTAGATAGAGAAAGATATTTCATATGGTCACTTGAGATTTTTTGGTGTAGAGCATTTGTACATGTTCCTAGAGATGAGAGGTCTAAACTTGATAGCAAAAAAAAAGTAGTGCATCTTCATTGGGTACAACCAAGAAAAACCTAGGTATAGTTTTTGGGATCCTATTTGAAAGAAAGTTATCAAAAGCAGAGATGCTATTTTCTTTGAAAATCAGATCATTGTAGATTTTGATAAACTAGTTGAGTCAAAGTTTAACAGTGAAGAGCATGTTGATTCAGGTATAACTTGGTTAATTACAGTGCATGGTAATGATGACAGGGGTAACATGTAGACGACCCACTTCCAGCTGATGATGATCAAATTAATAAGAACTTAGAAGAAGCACCGATTGAACCTTTGTTAAGGAGATTCGATGAAGAGAGAGAGAGAGAGAGAGAGAGAGGGAGAGAGAGAGAACTTTTTAGAATATATTCTACTAGTGAATTTGTGCTGCTAACCGAAGGGGGAGAACCAGAGACTTATCTGGAGGTTCTGTCAAATGATAATAAAGAAGAGTGGTTGAGTCTTATGGAAGATGAGATGAGAACCTTACATGAGAACCACACTTACGATTTTGTGTAGCTACCGATAAACATAGAAGCTTTAAAGAACAAATGAGTATTTTGACTAAAAGGCAGAGGAGAATTGCTCGCAACCAAAATACAAAGCAAGGTTGGTTGTGAATAGATTCAGTCTGAAAAAGGGTGTCAATTTCAATGAAATTTTCTCACCAGTGCTGAAGATGAGTTCAATCTAAGTTGTAATAGGATCAACTGCTAGTTTGAGTATGGAGGTGGAACAACTTGATGTAGATACAGCCTTTCTTTACGATAATTTAGAGAGGAGATATACATGGAGCATCCCGAAGGCTTCAGAGCCAAATGAAAGAAAAATTTGTTTGTAGATTGAGAAAAATTTTATATAGGCTTAAGCAACTACCAAGGTAGTGGTACCAAAAATTTGATGCTTTTATGGAAATAAATAAATACAATAAAAGAACTTCTAACCATGGTGTTCTTATAAAGAAATTCTCTGATACGGATTTTTTGATTCTCTTACTATATGTGGATGATATGTTAATTGTTGGTAATGATGTGACTAAGATTGAGAAGCTCAAGAGTGAAAACAAATTCTTTTGCTATGAAAGATTTGGGTCCAACAAAGCAAATACTTGGGATAAAGATCATTCGTGATAGGAAGAAAAACAAGCTATATCTATCTCTATAGAGGTACATAAAGAAAGTTCTTGAAAGATTCAATATGAGCATCATGTAGCCTATTATTTCTCCATTTATAGGTCATTTTAACCTTAGCACTAAACAATGCCCTACAAGTGAGAATGAGAAGAAATAAATGAGGAAAGTGTCGCATGCATCTTCTATAGGCAGCTTGAAGTATTTTATGGTATGTACGAGGCCAGATATTGCTCATGCAGTTGGCATTGTCAGTCAGTTTTTTTCCAATCGAGGAAAAGAACACTGACAACTATAAAGTGTATTTTCAAATATCTCAGGGTTCTTCTAAAATCTATTTATGCTTTGGGAATGATAATCCTATTTGGATGGTTATACAAATGTAGATATGGCCAGTGATGTGGACTTGAGGAAGCCCACTTTCGACATGCTTGGTGACTTCTGCAAGCAGAGGAGTTTCATGAAAAACCTAAACTACAAAAGTGTGTGGCTTTATCAACTAATGAGGTTGAATATATTGCGGTCACAGAAGCTTGCAAAGAAGTTTTGAGGATGAAAAAATTGCTACAAGAATTGGGCCACAAGCAATATAAATTTGTCTTATACTGTGATAGTCATAGTGCAATTATCTCAGTAAGAATTTCACATTCCACTCACGTTTGAAGCACATCGATGTGACATATCAATTAATTCGTGATGTATTAGACTCAAAGATGTTATAGCTCGAGAAGATCATTTACTGATGAAAATAGTTCTGATATGATGGCAAAACCATTATCGAAAGAGAATCGTACAGTAAACTAAAAAGAAGAAGAAGAAGAGAAGCTTATAGTATGTTGATGAATCACATGTATAGGCTTTTCTTCATGTGAACATCAAGGGAAGATTGTTGTGGATCCCCCCTACTTGAAACCTACTGGCTTCTCATTGAAAGCCGTAAGTCGGTTTTAACTATTATTATTAAAAAAAAATTGAGTTTTTCTTAGACAAATAGGACAAATAGACGGCTGGCTACCTGACTCTCCATTTGATTTTCTTCTCTCCTCTCTTGGTGAGTTTTAGCGAATAGAGGGAAGGCCAACGATTTGGTGTCAAAATTCTTCTCACAACTTGGAGGATTTGAGGCCAACAACGTGAAAGAGATTCAAAGTTAGGAATTTTTATTTTTATTGAATTTAGTGAAATCACCCAACTCTTGTGTTTGATGAAGCTGATGTTTAACACCTATTTGATGGCTGATTTTTGATTTCCTCTAGCAGTATTCTAGAGAAAAAACTTTGTGTACCCATTAAGTTGATTAGTAGAGATGTTTAAGTAGCCTACATGTCCCTTGATTTTTACCTTTTTTGAGGTTTTCCACATAAAAATTTGATGTTACTTTATTTTGTTATCTGCTTCAGTTTTGTTACGCGTGCTTGTGATGTCGTAGATTTCTTTGGCTTTCTTTTTTCAACACGGGGAATGCACCATTCACTAATTAGAATAACCCATAAAATTATAACAATTTTCCACAAAATCTAATTAATAATAACACAACTTATCAATTGGCATATAACTTTTTCTCATTATAAATCCACCCATATTTGCATCACTTTATTTTCGTGTACAAATTCAATGTACTCAACATGCTAATCAGACAATATGCATCATCTAAATTGGAATTAATTTGAATATTTATCATTTATTTATTTGTTTTAATCATGAATCAATCATTTATTAATTTAATTTTCCAGAAAACAATTCCCAAGCTCAAAAAGACTTGCACGGTAAGACCATTGTGACAGCATGTTCTCTAACCCAGGGGTATTTCCGTACCATCCCATCGGGCAGGACAATTTGCTGACACGCGTCAGTATGTGGTACGTCAGTAACCAGGGTTATCCTTTGAATCCTTCACCTACAACCGACAGATGCCCGTTACCGGCGAATAACCGAGAAAACTCGCAACTAACAAGTTTTTTGGATCATAATTTTGTAATAATTTAAATTAACTAATAAGTACTTTTTTGCTTTTTCTTAGGAGAGGGACGGGAGGCAACGGTGTACCTTTCTCGGCGGCTTCATGTAGGATCTGGGTTTCTCGATCCACTTCGATCTTCTCTCCTTTCTTCTGTTTCTTTCTCTTAATCCTTCTTTGATGGAGCTAGGGTTTGAGGAGATCTCTTCTAGTATCGCCGATCGAGGTGGATCTGATACCGTATGCGGGCGATTTGTTCGTGTTAATATTTTTGGCCAACGGGTATTGGGATCTTTCGGCAGATCGGGAGTTGTTGGGGGCAAAGATCGTTGCAAGGTGGCTTATATGGTTCTTTATATATTAATTTCTTTCTGATCTGCAAAGAAAAAAAGTATGTTTGTGCTTTTCCTCGCCGTTTCTTTGCTTTTTCTGAGATGTGGTAGCACTGTTTGATTTAGGTGGAGGGATTGAGTTTTGCGCCCTGGTTTGCACGCTTGACAACGAGAGAGAGCACGCTGGTCGGCGCTTATGGGACGACTGCCATGACTGTTTACTAGCGTGCTCTTTCTCGTAGTCAACCGTTTTTCTTTACCAGGGCTGCAGAATCACCAGCGTCCAACGGAGGACCACTGGGCTGTGCTCTTATTCTAGATTTGATGGCATGACTGTTGGGCTAAGCCGTGAGGCCATGAGCCCTAAGATCGGGTATGGAGATTTTTTTTTTTAGTTGAAATTTGTTTATTTGCTTCAAAGTAGGGATTGCTTTATACTTTGTGTTTATTGTATTGAAACTTTATATAGATTTGTAGTATCCTCAACCAGATTAAGGTGATTTTGTCCTGGCTTACTTGCAAGTGTCAAAACTTGACTGTTTTTGTACTGATTACATGAATTAAATTTAGAATATAAAAGCTTCATACGTTTCTTTGTAACGATAGTGTTATTCCCTTCTCTTATTTAATTTTCATGATTATGATATCCATCACCAAGTTGTAAGCGGAATTCATTAATAATCTTAATACTGTTTGGTGCGAACTATCTGATTATCACATAGCAGTCACACATCGTTTTGATTTGATCTTTTTCTCATCATGGTTCACATCCATAATACTTCTCCTGCTACTTTTTTTTGTCACTGTTCACGTAGAAGCACACCTTGGGTTTTGATTTGAGGTTATATTATGCTTCTGATTTCTATGTATCTGAAGTGCATAATACTGTTGGGCTTATCCATTGCCACCATTTATGCGCATCTCTCGGAGTAAATACTGAAAAAATTTTCGTTAATTGAACTAATATCACAGCGATATGCACATGTCTACATCCCTCGAAAACTTTTGGTGGATCTGCTTATATACTCTGGACTTCTTTTTGTTATTCAAGTTATTGATTATTAAGAGTGTTTAAGTTCAAATTCCCAGCTTAATAAATCGTCTCCTTTTCCATCTTGTTTCATTGGTTTAAATATTTCTTAAAATCTTACGTTTCTGTATTTAATGATCAAATGGATGGTGCCTTGATTTACTATACATCTGGAATAGTATTGTGTTCATTATGATGAGATCTTAAGCACAATTTATGACTAAACATTCGACATTTCTTGAAAAATATTGTATTAATTATGATGAGATCTTAAGCACAATTTATGACTGCACATTCCACATTTTATGTAGTACTTTAATGTAACTTTACAAGGGAAGGAAGACCATCGTAATTCCCAAACTATTGTACTGTTTTGTGAGATATTAATATTGTTATTTTACCGTACTTTAACTGGAACTTTTTTTTAGGTTTACAGCATTCAGGATGTTTTAATTGCTTATTCCTTTATCCTTTCTGTCGTTTGCATTTTTTTTCATTAATTTAATATTTTTTTCGGAGTGTTAGTTTTACGACGTACTTGAATCTAAATTACTAAAACGCTTTCTCTTAGAGGGATGTGTTCTAACTGAATATGTCCGTATGGCTTGATTTCAGATTTTTTTCTCCGGAAGTTTTGTCTTTTTTGGCTAGAGTTGATTCACTTTCTAGATATATTTAGATAATACTAAACATGTTCTGTAATGAAAAGTTGAAGATGTTGTTTTGCAATCTTTGAAAATATCTTTATCCTTATATCATCAAAATTTTCATCAGCCTGAAAACTATTTTAGATTGATTGTAATAATCATTTTCCATTCTTTTTTGTTGACCTAGGGTTGATCTGCTAAACTTATTTTGATTTTTTTGGTCTATTTTTATTGACGCTTTCTTTTGTTTTCCCCCCTTTTCTTCCTATACTTTCCACGGTAATTTCATTTGCTTGTCCATATCTTCTATGTAATAACTGAAAAAGAGGGATTTTGAGCCGACTTTGATGGTTCGGACTGTTTCGTTTTAAAACTAGAATCGTGCGAATGACCTAGCGTGAATGTGAATCAAAAGGAGAGGCCGAAGTTATGGGGTTGACCTATCGTGTAAGGGAGAAGAAGCGGGGTAAGTCTTACTTGTGGGTCGAATAGTGCGGCTGAGATCGTAATAAGATAAGTAAGCTTTTGTTTATATTAGATCTTTTCATATATTAAATTGACTTTATATTTATATTTTATCATGCATTTTTATGCTAATTAAAATTAGAAAGCAAAAGTGGAAAGACATTAGAATTTGAGATTGAAGTGGATGACCTTGAAGGAAATGGTATAATGTAAATAATTTGAATTAATTACTTTAGATTTAATGGTTATTAAAATATTAATATTAGATTATATTAGCTTATGACATCGATTAAAATCAAAGAACAATTGATTCCAAAAGATTAGAGATGGTGATCGTGAAATTAATTTGCACAAGAGGAGCATGAAGTGAATTGAGGTAAGTTCAGGATTTTGCCATAAGTAATTAAATGTTTAAAATAATGTATATTTTAAAAATACTTTAAGATCCTGATTGGATAACAATAATAGAGGGTCAGAGAAGTAATTAATTGGAGGAATAAGCATAAAAGAAGGCCTCCGTAAGGATAAGATGAGTATTTTCTTTATTATATGAATTAAATATATTTTTTGTTATTTAAAAGTATTTATGCTTTCAAAGGTAACACATACAAACTTAAATTGGCATTTATTATTTCAAAAATATTTCATTTATTTTATAAAGATTTAAAAGTATTTTTATGATTGTAGCTGTGGAGGCCTCCAATTCCCCCTCCTTATAAGAGGTCAACTGAATCCAAATTTGTAGGTTGAATGCAATGACTATTAGAATCCACAATATTGAGAGAGAGCTAGGGCTCAAGGTACAAGTTTTTTCACATAAATTAAAGGAACTTTTATCAACATCATTACTTGGGAGGACCAAGTCCTCCATATTATTGGGTTGGATCGTATCTTTAACAAGGGATTCACTAGAATCATTTTTTCGAAGAAGAAACTAAAGGCACATTACTATCAGGGTTAAGAGGGATAATCTGTACGACATAATTGGGGATTACCTCATTGGGGGAAGTAAAGTTGGTATAGATTTGTGGGTTAGGGTTTTCCATAAAATTGTTATTTTGATGTTAATCCTTATCCATACTAGCAGCATTTAGTTTATATGTAGCATTCTGAGAAACTTGACCACGACCCTCCTGAACCTTGGTTGATATCTTAAGTCAGAGTGGAGGACGAAACATTCATCAACCGCATGTCCATGAATCTTGCAATGAGGGCAAAAAAGGGGACTAGTTTCATACACAATTTTTTTGGGAAATAATCTTATTTTTTGTTCTTCTCTAGAATGCCACATATAGAGATTTAAAGATATCAATTTCCACCATAACTCTAGCCACCGAAGGCCTCGATAATGTGGTTGTAGCCTGGTCAGTGTGTAACAGCCAGCCAAGGGAAGCCACCACATGAAAAACTTGATTAATTAGATGCAGTCTTAGGTGGGGAAAAGATACTCACATAAGAACAATTAGAGATTCTTCCCTAATGTCAAAGTAAGGAGTTTATTTAAGCAAGCACATTTGACAGTTAACAACAGGTAAGATCTTCTAGCAAAGATGCGGCTATAATCTATATCATTTTCAAGCTTCATAAAAATATGTCTAGTGCTAAGAAGTCCAATAGAAAAGTTGTCAAAAAATTTCAAGTTGAAAAAACTTACATACATTGCTTATGGCTGGCGTCAGAGTGAGAACTTACCAACAACAGTGAAGGCATAAGGGGAGGCAAGGGCATCCACCATATCATCATTAATGATCAATGTTGGCTTACGATGAAGTGTAGAGGAATGAAGGTCCACCAAATTAAGATCTTCAGATCGTTCGGCTAGGGCATCAAAAAAGATCGAGGGGTTTTTGGAGGAGGGGATAGAGCCCTTCCAAAATTTCAATGAGTTAGGGGTTCCCCCACCTGTGCGGTGAGAGAGGCCATGAGGCGCACTTGGAGGTTTGGCGATCAACAACTAAGACATCACTAAATTTTTAGAAGGTGCAAATTCGAACGAAGAGAGGATGATTGTGTATGAATCGATCGAAAGAGGAGCTCCTCTGCGTGAGATCGAGAGAGGACACTATTATTGATGAAGATTCTAGCATGTGAATCAATCAAAATGAAAGAACTCCTATCGAATGGAAGAAATGTGCTCTTCTGCGTACCCTATTTCAGTTGACAGAGAGAGTTGTCAGCCTCTCTCTTTCTCTTGCTCTTCTCTTTCTTTCTCCCTTCCTCTCTCCCTCCCTCTCTCTCTCTCTCTCTCTCTCTCATTTTTTTCGTAGTATCTCAAGTTTTTAGGTTTTTCATGACGTTCTATCCTTTATTTTGCATGTTTAAAAAATTTAAATGTATTTAATCTTTAGTTTGTTAATTTCATTATCACCTTACACCCCCTTACATATAATTATCTTCCTACCTATTATATATATTTTTGTAGGCAACCAGCATAATAGATATTTTTTTTCTCTACATTTTACTTGATTAGCTATATTTATTTAGCCCAGTCCTCAAATTCATAAAATAAAAAAGATTTAATTTTAATTGTACACAAAAGTTTGTAAATCACTTGCTAATAAATGTATATGTATTAGGCATGTCCTAGAATGGTGAAAATATAAAGGAATTTGAGTTCAAATAAATAAGTGTGGCCTCTACTTAGTTATAAAAAGTTTAAACATGAACTAGTTAAATTCTAATTTGAGAATATCTTCTCGACTTGATTTTTTTTTTCCATCTTTTTCCTCATTCAATCCCTTAAAGCTTCCTCTCCTTTCTCTTAATAGATTGAAGTACTTCTTAGTTACTTAATAGTTGTATTAAAGCTATATTTTGATAGTAGGTGTTTGCTTAAACATTAGTGACCACATCAATGGCCAACTTTATTGCTTTAGTCAATTCTGATTAGCAAGTTTAATTAGCTCTTATATTTGATGGAGAAAATTATTATGTTTGGGAGGCAAGGTGCAAATTGTCTGGTCTTTGTAGTTAATTATTTGTCATTTCAATTATCACGTGCTAATAACTAAAAAACCACTAAATGAAACTAAATCCAATATGATCATGATAAAAATTTATCAGTTTTTGGGCAAGGAATATATTTGAAATCATGGTAACATGAGAAAATACATTTTCATTCGAAAATGCTTTGCTAATAGAACCTGTGGGAACTATTTTTTGACAACCCAAAATCCATAGGTTTATTTTTTTTCTAACATAGATTCTACCAAAATTAACTACAATAAATTGTAAAATCTTATCGTGTGAAAAATATATTGAAATTATTACAACGAAACACTTAGTAGGTAATTCCATCAACCTTTGTAATAATATTGCATCTTACCACTTGCAACATGTCTCTGTGCATAGCGAATAAGGAAGATATAAGACTATACATTAAAGGCTATGTCTTAGTAGCCTAAACCTCCTCGATACGTTTGTTTGACTGTGTACTTTTGACATGTTTTCTTAGTCTGATTGTCTTTTGTAGTAGTACTTACAAATGTAAGAACACACCCATCTAATTTAAAAAGGCATTCACATCTTTTCCTCAAGGCACAACTCAATTTGAGGCGAACAAAAAAGTTTCGAAGCTAAAGCCGCACTATCATTATTAGTGAGATTTATGATTTTTTTTCTAAGACTTGACCCTTGAAGCTTTATGCCTCAATGAGTTTGAGAAATACCTCAATTACGTCATGCAAGAAATTATATTATATGATGTTATTTTATATTTAATATATCTAGGACATTGCCCAAATTAGTTAAATGATAATTTAAAAAAAATTACTTGATTATGTTTTTAAGTTATTCTTTTATTTTAAATTATAATTGATCTAACATTTATTGATATAGAAAGAGAATAAGATTATAGAGTTTGAAGAACATTTTGAAGTTACCAATAAGATATAATTAGATGATAATAAATATGATGATTTTTTTGAAGATGATAAAAATAAGGATGAGGCCACTATGATCTTGATTCTCATGGAATGTTTAAATTTTGGGTGAATGCTTATTTATAATCACATTTCAAAATTTTGTTTCACATCAATATTTAAAATTAGGATTTGTGATTTATTTCTTTACAATAAAACAAATCAACATCATCAATGGTTTATGCAAGGTTGTGAAAGTCGGACCAGACATTGAACCAATAGAAGTAGAAGTTTAAGGTTCAAAGGTTGAACCGGAGGGTTCAACCAGATGACTTAATAAATCATAAATATATTTAAAAATGATAATACATGAGATTTACATCTCACTCAATTCATATGTATTTAAATATCTAACACTAAAAATTCAATTAACATATGTAACTTTAGCTATGCTTGAAAACATGTATTTCACTTTTTAAAATTAAAATAGTGATGTTTTATGTGATATGAATGATTTTGGTAGTATAAATTAAGAAAAATAGAGTTTAGTGTAAGATATGTATATAAATAAAATTGGGTGGTATGTATGTAAATTGAATTTCTTTGTAATAATGATGTTTTTAATGTGTTATGAGTGATTTGGGTGATATAAATGTAAAAAATAGAGTTTAGTTGTTAGATCTAAAATACATAAAATTGGGTGGCATGTATGTAAATGCTCGTGAACCGAATGATTTCTTAGAATCGGAGCCGGTTTGTCGGTTCTCCAGTTCTGGGGTTGAATGACCGGTTCAATCCGGTTTTGTGCAGTTCAATGCAAGAGGTTTTTTTATGTCAATCGGAACGGGACTTGTTGTCAGTTCACAGTTGAACTGGCTAATCGGTTCGATTTTCTAAACCTTACATTTATATCATATTTTGGAATTATTTTTAGTTTTATGGCCTTTTTTCTATTTTTAGGCTTACACCTCGATCTGCATGGAAACTTGCGCTTCTCCTCGTTAAGACAAAAGACTTGATCAGTTTGCGATTACTCCTTTTTAAGGGTTTGTTTGGGCCAATTATAATTGTTTGAAGAGGCTATTATGAAGCTGATGAAGAAGAAACTACTGTTCAAAAAGTTGCAGTGACTTACAATTTGTTTTTTAATGTCAAATCACAATTTTCTTGCAATTACTACAGGTAGTCAGGTATGGTGGTAAAACACAGTTTTCAAATACAATTTTTTGGAAAAATAGGCAGAATGCAATTTTGCAAAACAAAAAAAATTGCGGCGTGCCAGCGCACCGCCGCCCCAAATGCACCCTAACCTTGCACACACACAACATATTAGACTAGGCTTAAATGGTGTGGTACAAGTTGGTGTAGTGGTCTTAACAGATGTAGTGTTGGTCAACATGGTAATGTCGATGTGTGAGGTGAAGGTAGCTGGGCCAAAAACATTTTTTTTTCTATTTAAAATAGATGATATGTATTTGCGGAGAAGAAAATCTTTATTGTCAAATGACTGAATTTAAAAAAAGTAATCAATTGATATCAGATTAGATAGTTGGATACAAAAGAAGAGTAGTTATATTAAAAAATGTTTAAGAGGGTATTTCAGTGGTGAAAATGTAAACTTATATAAAGTTCTTAGACATTCATAGTAATTATATTTCCATCAACTTAGTGGCTGTTTAATTTAATTCTTTATCCTTTTTTTTTTCTCGAAGAGCTTGCTTTTGCACCTTGGTTTGCACGCTTGAGAACAAAGCATCATCCATTTTTTCTTTTCAAGGCGGTAGAATCACCAACATCCAGATGACCACTGAGCTGTGTTGAGAATTGGACCTTATGTAGGGTCATATCGGTAAAAAGGGCATATTGAAGAAGGCTATGGGTTTATTTGTAAAACATTATAATTCTCCATTTAAGCCCAGGTTATGAATGTACAAAGCAGGTTTTTGAACATTTCTTTTAATATGGTATCAGAGCCCTTAATCCTAAGAGCGTTGTTGGTGTTTCTCGATCGGAATCGACATGCATCCTTGGTGCTGCTCAATCATCGGGATCAACATTGTGCTGATTTTCCTCTTCTTTTTGCTTCTTCGTCACGAAACAGTTGCGATTAGAATTATTTGGGACAATAGCGAAGGGATAGCAATGTGAACTTGTGATATAGACACTATTGCACGACGCGATACAGTTGCAATTAGAGCTAACTAGGAATTCAACGTCAGGATAAACAAAAGCTCATAATACAGGCGCTATTGCACGACGCGGGAAGCAGACAACGTGCATGGGTAGGATCGAATTGACGATACCTTCGGTTGCTGGATCGCAATAAGATGGTTTGAGCTGCTCGGTATTGGGCAAAGTGAAGCGCGTGTGAAACCAGAGCAGTGGAGGAGAGAACATGTGTTCTACATGCATGAGAGGACGACTAAGGTTGGGGAATGATTAAATTGAGGTTTTCAGAAGATAGTGCGATAGGTAAATGTTTGAAGCTTAAGGAAAACAAATCTTGAAATTCTGAAAGTTTTGATCGGGCTCATACAGGAAGCTACCGTCTTATTGCGAGCTGCTATCTCAACATGTGCTCTAATACAATTGAAGCTAATTCTCCCTCATTTGGATCTGAAATTTGATGGATCGTTCATATTTCTGAGTTGGTCACGTTGGATTGAGGGTGCTATATTTGGGAAGAGACGAGAGATATTTGACGGTCCAAAGAGTGAGTGGTGAGAGAGATGAGCGAAGGATCACACATGCCTTGCTTTATACACGGCTACTCAACTCGATGGTTTCATCGATTGCCTCATCAGTAGGTGTCATTCGAAGGGTGAATGACATCTGACTGAAGCCGAAGAAAATATATGTTGGAGCTGAGAACCACATGCGGGCATGAGATGAAGACAGTGGTTTAGGGTGATAGATTAATTCAAGAGTACTCCGTAGAACTAGAGCAGTTGTGGGTAGATCTCGATCACTTCTCACCGATGTCGAGCTATGACTGTGGAATGCAAGAAAGGGGAGATTTTCATACAGATGAGGACTATGTAGTTTTTGGCCCATCTGAACCCAACCTTTGGTCAGAGGAGATATGTTATCCTGGTTTGGGAGATTATCCCTTCACTAGATAATGCCACTGATGTGATGATATAGAAGGAGAGTTCAATGAAGCTACACCGAGCCTAGTTAACTTTCGGGTGCGCGATCAACTTTGGTTGCTTCGAGCTCATGCTACTACTATGGTGAAATCGGGCATCTGAGCGTGACCTTAGGCCACATAAGGAGAGTGAGACGTGAGCGTGAACAGAGTGGAGGCCGTGGTTGTGGCCATGTTAGTCAAAAAGGTGAAAATTGGGTCTACCGGGCAAGTCTATTGGTAGCAGAGGAGGGGGAGGCGGTTGTGATTTTTATCAATGAGAATCATGAGTGTCTACGATTGCTGAAGAGAAAACAGAAAGCAACAAGAGATGAGATTGATGATGCTTCCAATTAGTCATCATCAAAGGGTAATATTGCCACTTATGCTCACTCTGATAGATATTTATGATACTCATGCTCTTTCCTCTACTTCCATTATAAAATCATCAAAATGAATAACTTCTCACGCATTTTGATACATGACGTGTACTGTTAGAGAGTTTTTTTCCTATACTTTCCTAACTGTACTAGAATACATCTAGACTGTTGATTGTACAACACAAACTATAGTTGGTAAGGGTACAATGAGGAGTATCAATTATATGACTTTGACTAATGTTTTGCATGCTTATTATATTTGAGTGAATTTTTTATCCATTAGTGTCATTATTCTTCAACTAAAATGTGTTATTGTTTTTGATATTTCTAAGGTGATCTTCTAAAAGAAAGGGACAATCAAACACTTGGGACTGCAACGTGGCATAGTGGACTCTAGTACTTAGACCGGGAGGGGATGGACCCAGGTTTGACATTGATGGTAGAGAATGCTAGAGTAGGAGAATCTAAGAGGGGTGTGGAGGATGTCTTGTTGCTATATCATAGACGCATGTGACACTCTTATTTTAGTTTATTGAGTCAGTTGTATTCTTCGTTGTATGAAAAGAAAAATAAACAAAAGCTTATTTGTGATGCTTGTGAGTTTGACAAGCTTAATAGGAGCTCTCATATCAGTTATTAGAATAGGAGTTCTGGTGTTTTTTACTTGATACATTTTGATGTTTAGAGATCTTATTCTACTAGTTTTGTGAAGGATTATCAATTTTTTGTGACTTTTATTGAATGCTTTTCTCGTTTTAGTTGATTATATTTGATGAAAAATAAGGGTGATTTGTGTATGATAATGGGCTGAGTATACCAATATGACATTTGAGGAATAATTGTGAGCCTAAGAGAGATAACATCAAACAACATGTCCGTATGCGCAGACACTAAATGCAGCAGAGATGAAGAATAAACACATTCTAGAGGTTGCCCGAGACATGATGATCGCACTGAATGTCGCAAAACATTTATGGGGGGCAAGTAGTTTTGATAGCTGCTCAATTATTCAATAGGATGCCCTTGAGGGTGTTGGATTGGAAGTCTCATTATCGTATATTAAAAAGAGATAATAATGAAATTCTCTCATTGAAGGTGTTTGAATGTTTGTGTTTTGTGAATGATAACAAGCCATCAGTAGGGAAGTTGGATCGCAAAGCCATGAACTGTGTGTTTGTAGGTTATTTTGCTAACCAGAAGAGGTATGTCTGCTAGAGCCCGATAGAGAAGAGGCTGCCTGTGAGCATGAATGTGTCATTAAGAAAATTTGAAAAACACTACACTCAGAAGTTGACTTCACCCTTCGGTGACTTGCCAGATACTGAGATACGACATAAGAGGGGCGATTAGCAATAGTGAGAGAGTTACACGTGGGAGGAATGACTTGTCTAGTAATGTGGGATGAATCAATTGAGAACCAAAAAATGAGGAGAGTGAACCCATAGGTGGTGTGATTCAGATTGAAGGTGAGCTAAGGGTGTATGCACAGAGAAGGAAGAAAATGAAAGAACGGTGTCTACAGTGTCATTTGTGCCAGCTAGTCCCTTGTTTCGGTCTTCCCCAACCCTTGAGACACCTACACCATTCACATCTGACTCAGAACTCCTTGTTGATATGATTCCTCCATCTTCTCCTAACCCCTCAATTTAAGGGGGACCTCTTGCAACAATTTGGGACATCTTTTCAGTGGATGAAAACGTGATATTGCTAACTTTATTTCATATTTTAACATATCACCTTTACATGGATCATTCATTGCATCTTTGAGCACTGTTTATATACTCAAGTGTTGGAAGGTTGCTAAGAAGGATCCCAAGTAGAAAGCGACTATGCATGAAGAGCTTAAGGCTTTCGATAAAAACTGAACATGAGAATGCCACTATTAGTAGGAAAAGGGGTAGTTGGATGCAAGTGAATATTTACAGTGAAGCAAACTTTAGAAGGAAATGTGAAACGAAACAAAACACGACTAGTGGCAAAAGATTACAATCAACCATATGACATTAACTATGATAAAACCTTTACACCGGTAGCAAAGATGTGCATAGTAAGGATACATATGAAGAATGCATTTTTTCATGGTGAGTTACTGGAGGAGATAAATGTAGAGATAGAAGCAAGATTCGATCCAGTCTAAATAGTGGGCAAGATGTGTAGGCTCAGGAAGTTACTGTATGGCTTAAAGCAGCCCATTCGAGCCTGATTTGATAAGTTTAGAAAGACTATAGTGGGTATGTGCTATCAACAGGTTAATGTAGATCATACAGTGTTCTTTGGACAACATGAAGGTCACACCACTATATTTTCTAATTGTTATGTATGTTGATAAGTTAATGATTATAACCGATGATGATGAGATAGATTGCCCAACTAAAGATAAGATTGGGTAATGAATTTGAGGTTAAGGGTCTTGGACATGTAAGATACTTTCTTGTGATTGAAGTGATCAGTAGTTCAAAGGGGATGATTTTGTCCCAGAGAAAGTGTGTACTAGATCTCCTCACGTAAACATGTATGTTGGGGTGAAGACTTGCAGTTTCTCCAATTGACTAGAAGACTATACTGAGTGCAGAGGCAGAAGAATCGGTTGATCGTGTGAGATACCAGAAATTGGTGGGCCTTTTGGTCTATGTCACCCTCGACTCAACATCTCTTTTATAATGAGCGTGGTGAGCCACTACATGCATGATTCAAGTAAGGGTCATGTAGATGCAGTGTATCTGATTCTGAGGTATATGAAGAGTGCATTAGTGAAGTGGTTGGTTTTCACGAAGAATGGGAATGCAGACATTGAGGGCTTTTGTGGGCTGACTGGGCGAGTTGCGCAGATGATAAGATCCACCTCAAGATACTGCATGCTCGTACGGGGCAACTTGGTCTCTTGGAAGAGCAAGAAACTGTCTATAGTAGCGAGGTCAACAACAAAGGCCGAGTATATGACCATGACCTTAGGAGTTGTCGAGATGATGTGGCTGATAGCCTTGTTGGTCGAGCTCAAGGTGGACCAAAGAACTCAAATGAGGTTGTGGTGCGACAACAAGTTAGCAATCGACATTGCCAACAACCGGCACAACACAATTGAACAATCATGTGGTGATTGATAGATTCTTCATCAAGGAAAAACTGAATAACTGGCTACTGTAACTAAGTCATGTAGCCACTGGAGAGCAAGTGACTGACTGTCTTACTAAAGGAATTAGTTTATTAGATTTGTCTAGGTTATGTGACAAGATGAGCTTAGTGGATATCTTTTGTTAATCTTGGGAGGGAATGTTGAGAATTGGACTTTATTTAGGGTCCTATTGGTAAAAACGGAATATTGAAGAAGTCTAGGGGTTTATTTGTTTAAGCCCATGTTATGAGTGTACAACTCAAGTTTTCGAACAATTCTTTCAAGAAGCTGTGCTCTTATTATAGAGTTGATGTTATGATTGTTGAGCTAGAATAGCCATGAGCCTCAAGATCGGGTATGGAGGTTGTTCTTTTTAGTTGAAATTTGTTCATTTGCTTCAATTTTAGGGATTGCTTTATACTTTGTGTTTGTTGTATTAAAACCTTATACTGATTAGTATTGTCCTCAACCATGTTAAAACTGGTTTTGTCCCGACTTACTGACAAGTGTCAAACTTGAGTGTTTTCGAAATTATTACATGAATTGAACTCATAATATGAAAGCTTCAGATGTTTTATTTGTGATTATAGTGTTATTCCCTTCTCTCGTCTAATTTTCATGATTATTAAACTCCTCACCCAACTTGTAAGCAGAATTCATTTAGTAAACTAAATATCATATCTTCGTTAAAGGCGTCATGCATTGTTTGGTGCGAACTATTTGATTATCACATAGCAGTTAACAATTCGTTTTGATTTGATGTTCTTCTCGTCAAGCTTCACATCTATATTACTTTTCCTGTTCCCACTGTTCACGTGTACACCTTGGGTTTGATTTGAGGTTATTATTCTTGAGCTTCTGATCTATTTGTATCTGAAATACATAATACTGATGGGGTAATCCGTTGCCACTGTTCACGTGCATCTTTTGAATCAAATAATGATAAAAAATAGTGGTTCATTGAAAATTATATGCACATGGCTACATCCCTTGAAAAACTTTTGGTGGATCTGCTGTCAGAGTTTTCGTTTTATTGATATTCAAGCTATTGATTATTAAGACTGATTAAGTTCAAGTTTCCAGCTTAATCAATCGTTTCCTTTTCCATCTTATTTCCTTGGTTTGCATATTTCTTACCATCTTCCGTTTCTGTGTGTAATGATCAAGTGGATGTTGCCTTGATTTAACTTCTGGAAAAACATTGTATTCATTGTGATGAGAACTTGAACACAATTTATGGCTAAACATTCGACATTTTATAGAGTACTTTATTTTCACATTCCGACGGAGGGAAGAACAACGTAATTCCCAAACTATTGTACTGTTTTTATGCGATATTAATATTGTTATTTCATTGTACTTTAACTGGAACTTTTTTTTAGGTATACAGCATTCAGTATTTTTTATTTGCTTAGTTTAATCTTTCAGTCTTTTCAATTTTTTCTTTCTGCATTTAATATTTTTTCTGTGTGAGTTTTGCAACGTACCTGAATCTGAAATACTCACGCATACATCATACATCTCTATATGGAACCCGGATGTGTTCTAATTACATTTCAAGGATGTGTTCTAATTGAATTATTCCCGTAACATTTTATTTCAGATTTCTTTTTTCCCCACAATTTTTTCCTTTTTTCGGTTTAGGATGTTTCACTTTCTAGATATATTTAAGATAATAGTAGACATGCTCTGTAATGAAAAGTTGAAGATGATATTTTGAAAACTTTGAAATTATCTGTCCTTGTATCATCAAAATTATCATCAGCCTAACTATTTTAGGTTGATGTTTTTAATCATAATATTCCATTCATTTTTGTTGACCGAAGGTTGACTTGTTAAACTTATTTTGATTTTTTTTTTCGGGATCTATTTTTATTGATGCCATAATTTGTCTGCCCCCTTTTTTTCTTATACCATCCACGGTAATTTCATTTGCTCGTCTGTATCTTTTATGTAATAACTGAAAAAAAGAGGGATTTTGATCCGACTATGACGCTTCGAATAAACTATTGAGTCTTTAATTTTAGGAGATCAATGCTTCCATTAGAATCATAAGATTCAAAGAAGTAGGGAGCGAAGGAAAGATAGGTCATGTGCGGGTTTGAAGGTGTCGAGCACGTTGGAGGACATACGTCAATGTCACGGAAAAATATTACATTAGGACTCCGAACGTAGAACTATGTTTAGATTGTAATTGTTAGGAATATCCCGTTATGTTACTTGAATATTTAATCTGCATTATTTGTAAAAAAATGAAGTGTTATTCATATTATATGATGTTTTTCGATTATATTGCGTATTATATGGTGTTTTTCGATTATTGATATTTTGATTTGAGGCTGTGTTATGCTGCATATTCCCCATGTGAATATTCTCCCGTGTTACTGGATTTGAGGCTGTGTTATGCTGCATATTCCCCATGTTATTTCAATTTCTACTATGTTATTGGAGGAATATTCCAATAACACTTCAGCCCCAAATCAAGTAACACGGGAGAATATTTCAATAACACCGCAATATAATCGAAAAACATCATATAATATGAATAGCACTTCATTTTTTACAAATAACGCAGATTAAATATTCAAGTAACATAACAGGATATTCCTAACAATTACAATCTAAATATAGTTCTACGTTCGGAGTCCTGATGTAATATTTTTCCGTGACAAGGCAGGCAAGAAATCAAGCAATGTGAAGGAATATTCCAATAACACTTCCGCCCCAAATCAAGTAACGTGAGAAAATATTACAATAACATTGCAAAATAATCGAATAACATCATATAATATTCGAATCGCGAGAAAATATTACAATAACACTGCAAAATAATCGAATAACATCATATAATATTCAAATAACAATTTATTTTTTTACAAATAATGCATATGAAATATTACTGTAACACAGCGAAATAGTACTAACTATTGCAAAATGTAATATTTTTCCCAATTTCACATGTATGGGGATAACCAGCAAGTTAATCTAGTGTGACAAGGCAGGCAAGCACTGTTGCGGTACATTGGCTTGCTAAAGAACACAAAATCGTGCGAGCGATGTTGTGTTGCCAAGACCCGACTCAGGGCTTAAAATCAACCAAGGCGGGAATCGACAGTCGTATGACGTTATCTTTGCTTTCCAGATTTATTTATTTTTTAACAAATAAAAGAGCTGCTAAAAAAATTAAATTAAAGTAGTATCGTTAAATTTACTTTGTTATTGGTTGTCCGCGTATTCTATAAATATTTTTACTAGCATCGTTTATTTTTTAATCACTTAATTAACACGAAAAATTAGTTTAAAATAATAATGAACTAAATAAGTTAGTGAATAATTATATTCTTAAACTACAACATTACAATGAAAAAAATGCATGACAATTATACTTTTAATAAATCAATATTAATATTTGAGATGCTATAAATGAATCTTATTTTTTCAATAGTTCAATATCATTATATATCTATACAACAATTACAGGAGTACCGTAAAAAAATTTGTATTAATTAAGATATTTCAATATCAATATCCTTTTTTATGTACGAGAACAAAAATATTAATGTTCACTCACTAGTATCATAAATGAGTGATTCAATTATTGTCAATTATGCACATACAAAGATTTAATAAAAATAACAATTTAATAATAAATATTTCATTCTTATTTGCAATACAGTAACTATTCTTGTATTAGATTCAATACTTAAGATAATTTAAATAAAATTGAGTATACATATCATTCTTACAATATGAATAAAATTCATTAGAACACAAAATCACGATATTTAGTACAATAACAATAATAATAAATGCATTTGATCGAGAAGAAATAAAATATTACCATAATATAAGAATATGAGTACTATCTTGATGTCGATTAAATTGTTACTTGATTTATCTTGACATCGACACTTACAACTTGAGAATCTAAAATAAACATAATATTTATTACCAAATTTGAAATGAAATATTATTTTAATTTGGTTAACTATATGTTATTTATGCATACAATTTTCATAATTTTTAGTTTATCTAATTTTGCTTATTTTTCTATTCAAAAAAAAAAAAAATATATATTATTATTATTTTAAAACCACTTTAATAAAAAAAAAAAAATATATTATTATTATTTTAAAACCACTTTAATAAAACTCTTCCTTACCTCTTCTACCGAAATCACATGAGGGGACCTCTTCCTTCGAAGCTGCCACACTTCTTCCCCCTTTGTGCATGACATTTGGTTGGCCTTCCTTCTTCAATTGTCAGTTGTCTTTTCGGAAAATGTCTGTTAGGGTATAACCGACCCCTAATCCACGCAAGATCCTTTGCATGCAATTTCGTCACATCCTTCGCACCGCAGCAGTGCACGTGTGGATCGTCGCCTCCTCTGCTTGACATTGGTGCTGTCGCCACCTCTGACGCTGCCTCCTCCTCTGTTTGACGACGCCCCTAGACTGCGACATCCTCTTCTTTTGATTCTACAGGTAAGCCGTCTTCTGCTATGATTTATATAGGCGAATTTCACATCTACACCTTATGACGCTTTCACTTCATCTCCCAATTATTCGGTTACCTGACCCTCTCGATTCATCACCCCCTTTGCTCAACTTTTCGCTTCCACTCCCTCGATTACAAAAACACGACATTAAATGTGTGATTGGGAAACACGAGGCGAAGCCGAAGTCGTGAGAGTGACCTAGTGTGTGCAAGGTAAGAAGTGGGGTAAGTCTCCCATGTGGGTCGAACCGAGTGGCTGAAAACTTTAGTAAGGTAAGTTAGGGTTTGTTTATGTTAGATTTTTTTTATATTAACTTGAATATATATTTATATGTTAATGTAGTTTTTATGCTAATTAAAGTTAGAAAGCAAAAATGGAAGGATATTAGGATTTGAGATCGAGAATGAATGACTATGAAAAAAACGGTATAAGGTTAAAAAGTTGAATTAATTAATTCAGTTTTAATGCTTATTAAAATATTGATATTGATT